TGACCATTTTTATACAGATCTATTATTCATAAATCTAACTTATGTCTAAAATAATGAGGATTTTCCAAATTTCCCTTTTCCAAAAATATGCATGTTAATCTGACTGAAACATTGAAATGGATGAATTCTGTATTAGGTTTTCAACAATTTGATTTTTTTTTTTTTTAGTTTTCCCAGTTAAATTTCAATTTTGGACATGAACTCAGTCCACATTGGGGTTGATAAAACAGACAACCGATATCTTCATCTGCCAAAATAGGCTATTTCCCATATGAGGTGATTTGGGATTTTATTAATTATAATGCTCTGTAATAATAAATACATTGAGCTCTTTTTGTAGATCAGTTTTAATATTTTATATTGCTAGGATTCACTTGGATTATATACAAATGGGTCTGTTACCTTTACTATATTATATATGATAAAAACATTTTTAAAAGGTATGCATTATTTATGTACTCAATATCAGCAATAAATTGTATATAAATATAAATCCAAAAGTGGACACTGACGTCAACACTGAGGAGTGACAGACAATAATATAATACATCTACAAATAACTGCATTTGGAGCCACAATTATTTCTGCTGAATAGATTCTAGAATAATTTGAACCATAGCCATTACTAGCTACCAAATAACTATTAGAATAATACACTTTATTAATCATAATGCACCATTGTCCAACATATAAAATAGTTGAGCCAAAACACATGGCATGAAGATTATGTTCACGCATGAAAAAGTTAAATTTCATTGTTTTAGTTTAGTGGCATAAAGTTCTCTCTGGATTATTTAATTTTATGTCTTCCCCTGCAGATATTTTGTACATAATTTTATACTCTCAGGGTAAATTTATGTTTTATAGATATATATTTTGTAGATGATCTATCGTAGGTGTTATATATTTTAGTATAAACCTATTTCTTTAAGGTAGGACATTATGTTAACTGTTTCAGTTTTTTCAAATAGATTGCTCATGTTGGTAGGGGCTAAGTGAGTACATTCAGTTAAAATATATTTCACTGTGGGTGCAGCTTGGCATGTTGTACATGTTGATAAATCTTCATTCTTCAGCAAGTATGAATGGTGACGTATGTGTGACCAATGTGTAGTTGAGCTAGTGTTACTTCATCTTTTCTTCTTTCTCTTTTTAGATCCATACAAGGGATCTTGAAATTACTATCAGGGCTTTCCTTTTGGGTAGACTGTGGTTGAATCTGCTTGGTCATTCCCTCTAATTCCTATGTGACTTGGGATCCAGCATAGTGCTCTTTCTTTACTGTTGAATAATGAATGTAGCACGCATAGCAATTCCACCAGCAGTAGGCTGTCAAGTTCTGTTTTTTATTGCTGTTATAATTGATAAGGACTCAGAATATTATATACTTTTTAGTTTTGTTTCTGGAGATGAATTTGAGTGCTAGATCTATTGCACAAATCTCTGCAATGAAAATTGAAGTTTATTTCAGCAGATGTTTCTTTTTTTATTTTCTTGTTATACACTCCTGTACATCCTGTTTCATTTTTATATTTCAATTTATCTGTGAAGATATGAGAGTCTGGGGTAAATGTTTTTAATTTTTTCTAATTCCTCTTGGAATATAAGTGGATGTGTACCTGTTTTATGACATTTGCAGAGTTTTAGATTTATTTCTGGTATTCTTATGGTCCAAGGTGGTATATTTGGTATTATTGTATTATGGATTTTAGATAGAGATATTTCTGCTTCTTGAATGACAGATCCCATCTGGAGTCCAAAAAATTTTATGGCTTTCTCTTTTTCTTTTTTCATATTTTGGATTGAATGTGATATTGTATGCAGCGTTAGAGGGGCAAGTTTTCCATTTTATATTTTACTGTAGGGATAGTTTGTCCCATCTAAGATTTGGTGAAGATTTGTTTGCTTCTACATACAAACTTTCTACAGGAGATGTTCTAAATGCTTTAAGGACCAATCTCAAACTTTCATGGAAAGTTGGCTTAAGTATTTTGATATATGTTGTATCCTTAAAGAGGTTACAAACAGACCAAGGTAGTACTCAAGTGAAGAAACAGTAACATATGTGTAGATGAAAGAAAGAGAGGTTTATTGTAAAAGAGAATACACTACTGAAAAACAGGGAATCGGGTGTCAGGGTAGTAATTCCCGAAGCAAGGTTATTTACATTACCTCCCCACATGGAAGGATGTGTCACTAGGCTGTCTTTTTAATTCAGGGCAAAATCGAGCCTACAGGCTCAGGCAAAAATTCCCTATAGACCCTGTATACACGGGATCGGGTAGATGTCTACCATCCCAGATGAGAGACTGCCCTTCAGCATAGCCTCATCTGGGTTCCTCTCCTCCTGAAGGCAGAGAGTTCGACCAGCACAGCTGGAGATGAATCTTTAACTAATTGCCAAAGCAAGGTTATTTACCTTACCTCCCCGTGAGGCAGGATGTGGTACAAGGCCATTATTAAGGTGGGGTTAAAACTGAGCCTGTGGGCTTGGGCAAAAATTCCCCGTAGACCTCCCCAGATGAGACTCTGCTCTTCTGCTTAGCCTCATTTGAACTTGAAGGCAGAGAGTTGAACTAAGTTAGTTGAACTAAGCTAAGTTCAGCTAAGCTAGTTGAACTCTCTGCCTTCAGGCAGAGAGTTGAACTAGCTTAGCTGAAGACAAATCTCCAACTAATTGCCAAAGTAAGGATATTTGCCAACTGCCCCATGTGGTCAGATGTGGCTCAAGGCCAAATTTAACGTGGGGTAATCGAGCCCATATGTTCAAGCAAAAATTCCCCGTAGAGCTTGTAAAAAAACAGGGTTGGGTAGCAGTCCACCACCCCAGACGAGACTGACACTTGGCACAGCCTTGTCTGGGTTCCTCTCCACCTGAAGGCAGAGAGTTTGACTAGCCCAGCTAGAGACGAATCTCCAACTAATTGCCAAAGCAAGGATATTTGCTAACCACCCCACGCGATCAAATGTGGCACAAGGCCGAATTTAAAGTGGGGTATCTGAGCCCGTAGGCTCGGGCAAAAATTCCCCATAGACCCCGTAAAAACGAGGCCAGGTAGCTGTCTTCCACCCCAGATGAGACACTGCCCTTCGGCATAGCCTCGTATGGGTTCCTCTCCACCTGAAGGCAGAAAGTTTGACTAGCTTAGCTGGAGACGAATCTCCAACTAATTGCCGAAGCAAGCACCTAGGTATATCCTGTGCTCACTATATATAGCTACTGATATAGTCAGTCCACATAGGTGATAGAGAATGTGGGACATTCCATTACAACAATATAAGATTTCCTTGCAGATTGGTATATAAAGATTTCATAGTCCAGATTGGATTGAATTAATGTTCTGTATAATTTGAGTAGCATTTGCCAGTCTGCTCCCCAATTTTTATGGACCACCACTCTCAAGAGATTTAATGTTTTATGGTATTTTGTTCTCAGATATTTTAGGTATGGTATGAATGTTAGTTTCTTGTTGAGAATTATTCCCAAGAACTTTTACTTGTCTACCATTGGGATTTCTGTCCCTTTGAGTTGCAATCCTAAATAATTATGCAGTTTATTTTTATAATATTAAAAATGCATACATTTTGTCTTAGTTTTAGAAATTCTAAAACTTATTTATTACCCAAATGTTGATCTCATTTATGTAGATATCGACATGAGATCGCTGGAAAACATGCATAGCAGGATAATAACAGCCTTAAAATTGATGAAAATAATTTTTTATCGTCTAAATGTTTATGTTATTATCAAGAGGAAAGATCAAAGTACTTTTTGATTATTTTTTTTACCTTTTTTAATAATTTTTAGCACGTCCAAAATTTTTGTCAAAAATCTTGTATTTTTTTATCAGCAAAATTAACAGAAAATCGATCGTCAGCCATTTTTTAACTTTTGTTTACAAAAGTGAAAGTCTCTGTTTAAAATTCATTTAAAAAATCAATTATGATTTTTTTTTTAAATTAATTTAAGAAAATTAGAAATTATAAAGTTTATTTAATGTATTTTGAAACAAACATTACTTACTTTCTCTGCTGAAAAAAAGTACTTTAAAATGATAGAAAGCTGGTATTAACAGAGGTGTTGATTGACAAGTGACATGTGCATGATTTCATCTTATGGGAGGAAAAATTATAGTACGGAAGGTCACAAGTGACAATCTAGCTTTATGTGAACAACTTATTTAGCTCGTTATTTTTAAGCAGGCATAGCATGATAAAACTTGGCAAAAAAAGAATTTTATCGTCAAAATGTTTATGTTACTACCAACACAAACCACGTGATGGACTATTGTTTTCATGATGCTTCTGGTCATCGTTGCAGTGCAGAGAAATTCAATTTTGATGAATCTAGGAAATTCATTTCCAGCTTTTATTTCTGAATCAGACTGAAAGAAATTTGTTTGGGTTTTTGTTTGAGTCTACCATTTGATTTGTATTTATTTTTCTATTTATCCTGGGCTCCACCATCCACCAAAAAGTCCAGTTTCTATTGGGAATTTACCAAGGGTGTTAAATCCATTCGCTTTGGTTGAGACAGGGATACAGTTAAAGGATTGTACATGTATATACATGTCAGTCTGGAAGCATTTCCACATATCAAGGTTTTCTGTTAGTATAACTAGCAAGATTGTATCCATTGCCAGCTTCTAGGCCTATCACATAGCTTACAGCACCTGGTATTTCTCAGCAGTCACCCTTCTGAGTACTGACTAGACTCAACATTGCTTAACTCTGATGCCCAGACAAAAACCGATGTTTCAATATATAGCTGTAAGCATATAATAACACTATTATCATTTATGGTTGTACAATTAAGTAATATTACCTGTGTCATAAGTCAAAGGGATCACTAGTTTACATTATTCCATAACAACTTTATTAGTAATTGTTTAGAAACAAGAGAGTAAAAGCAACAATTTTTGTTTATAAGAGAGATTAAATAAGTATAAAATGAAAATATATTAACTCAATTCCTTTAAAATAATTTCTTCAATTAAGTTTTAGTTTTTACTCACATCATTTGTGCTAACCAACCAAGACATGTCAGTAAATGACACCAGTTCTCCATCAACATAACAACGTAGTTCTGAACGGCTCCAGCGATAATATACATGGCAAATGGTGACCATGTACCACTAGAAAGGAAAAGAAAATACATATAACATATATAAAAGGTAGAATGTGTGTGTGAGTATGTGTGTTTTTCAATCATTTCACCCCAAGGAAAATTCCTTTTATAACTACATGGTGACTGAAAAGTAACTCAATATTTTATATATGATGGACTCTCCCATCTAACCATAAGTTTTATAAGACGGAAGAGTCCATCATACATAAAATGGGGAGTTACTTTTCAATCACCCTGTATATTAACAGCATGAAATAAAATTTAGAAATGTTACAATACTAAAAGTAAAATCATTGCAACAGAAATAGTTTTACCTTTCTTGGTGAAAATTCATATTTCACACAATGTTGAAATCCTTTCCCTTTGATTTTCATTGAGGTGATGACTAGTGAACTGCCCAAAAAATGGGCAGAGTATCCAACTCCTTTACTTGTACGGAAACTATAAAAAGATAATAAAAATTCTTAAAGTACTTGATCATTTCATTGTTTGAATTTTAAAAGTACAAAATTTATATTTTGGCTATCTGGATTATACATTTTGTCAACTAATGTTATGTAATGATAAAACAAATTTTCAAATCAAACAACTATAAGCATAACTAAGCAAAGATGATAACTGTAGTAAAATAGGGAATCCTTACAAATTTTCATAATATAATCTATAATAATAAAGTGCAGTGTATGTGTTTCTGTCTGTCCATCCATTTTTCATTTTTGGCAAATCATAAACAACCTGAAGTAACAGGTATTAACTATTGTATTTACACTAGATTAAAATTCAAATAAATAACTCATTTAAAGTTAAATTTAAATATCAGTGAAAGATTTAAAAGCAATTCTTTATTAAAGGTTTAACTTTAATTTCACTTTTCGTTGCAGTTTATATCATCTAATTAAACAATAATAAAAGCTTAAAGAAATGTATGGTATGTTGCTCATGATTTTTTTTCTTCTTTTTCTAGCATGTGTACTGTGATGTATTCAAAATATAACATAGCTCAGGTTCCCTAATGTCTTTTAAGACTGACTTTATGTGAAAGGTTCATAAAGAATGGTGATCTTAAAAAAATAGCATGCAAAATAAATGTAAACAAACTACAGAGATCAGTTGCATATACAAACAAAAATTATGTCGAATTAAGGTGTCAAAAAAGATAAAATAATTTTATTATTTCTAAATTCTTATAACTTTTACACACATAGGATGTTGAAGTTAAAAAGCCAAGGCCAAAAACCCTCCACAGGAACTAAACTAAGGTTCACTTGAAGAGTGACTTCTGGTGAGACTAATAAAAATAAAAGCTAGAAGAGACAATTGTGCCTAAAAGTATTATAAGAGGGGAGAATAATATTCTTATAGTTTGAATTATTCAAGAGAAAGGACAAGTTATTTTTAAGGATTTATGATAGGTTAAGGAAAACTTGTAAAACCTGAAAGAAAAAGAAGTGATAATAGTAATAATTCTAGTAAACCAAATGATGCTGAATAATTCCTAACTTATTTTCTAGTTTGGTTATTATCCTTTATCTTTTTTAATCATTTCACCCCAAACAAGGAAATAAAGCCACTAAGACACAAGGATTTATCTTTAAGGTTTTATAAAAGATAATAGAAAACTTTTAAAAACAGAAAGGAAAGGAACTGATAATAACAATAATTGTGGTAAATTTCTTAATTTGCTTATTAGTTCTAATAATATTTATTGATTTCAGATTTGATGATGAAGAGTTTTCATATAAAGAGGAAAAAATTATTATTTAAGAAATAAAAATGGCTATTCTAAGTTAAAATAATAGAATAAACTCAAAAATAGGTAATTTAAAAAAATACTTTTTGTAAAGTAAAAAAAACAAATTTAATTTTTACCTTTAAATAACATTAAGAGACAAAGTTATTATCTCTATTTTCAGACAAATTTGAGCCAATTTATTTTTTAGTCGTTTATTAAGTTTTTATTAATTATTACTGTATGTAATTTTATGGTTATAAAATTTATTTTTTGAAAGGTATTTGCATACAAATACTAAATTAATTAAAAACTTTATGGTAGAACAGTAAGATGTATTTGGAGTTAACGGTACTTATAAGTACTGTTAACTCCACATACAAATATTTTGCTGCTCTACCATAAGGCTTTTAATGTGATGCAATAATGGTAGATGGTACAAAAATAATCAAAAGTTAACAAGAAACTACAAAAAATAATCATACCAGTAGAGATATGGTTTTTCTTTTTCCACAGTAACACCTGTGACTGGATCCAATCGGATCCAACAAGAAAAGGCCCAGCCATTTTGATACGGCCATGTTCGAATGGGTGGAAGTGAAATGAACTGAAAAAAAAAAAAAAAAAATGAATAAAATAATAAATATAAAAAATAAAATTTTAATAAATATTGTATCCCAAACAATATGAAAATTTGATTGTTATGGGAAAATTGTTAAATTAATTCTAGATTATATGAATAAGTTTTCTTTTTTAATCATTTCACCCAAAGCAAGGCAATAAGGCCACTGAGACACAAGTGGTTACTGAGTGTGAAAGTATATAAGAAAAGGAAAAAGATTTAATAAAAAAAAGGAATTAAAAAATAGAAAATAATGATTGACATTGCATTTAAATTTTTGAAGATGAAACTTGACTAGGAAGCTGGAAGAGAGTTCCACAAGTAAAGAGTGTGAAAGGAGAAATGGCTAGTATAGAACTTAGTTATATCTAGCAATTTTATCTGTAAAATGATGAGACCTTGCCGTTAATCTAGTAGTATGCTTGAATTTGTACAGTCAAAGTACCAAAGAGGAAAGTTCATCAGAACAAATGCCATGAAAGTATTTATAGAAAAGGTACAGGGAAACTATGTTATGGTGGTGGGAAAATGATTGAAGCCGAGATGCCAGGTCAGGACCAATAAAACTGCAGAATCTCTAAATGCATAGAATCACCAGACCAGATATGGCAGCAATATTTAATGCATGAATGAATGTTAGACATATGTGTAAACATTTCTAGCAATTATTGTACTGCTAATGAAAAGAAGGAATAATTATAGAAAAAAAAAAAAAAACAATTCACAATTGAATGAGGATATTTTTCTCATTATGAATTTTTAAGAACGTCTGTAAACAATATACAATGTTCAGAAAAATCTCAATTTCTTTTTCTCACTCAATCAAATCTCACTCTCTCTCAATCAAATCACAGTCTCCCGTGTATAGTCAAAAAATTTGATAAAATTGCCTAGATGGTTTACTTACAGATCCTTTTTTTCCAGGGAAACTGAAAAATTCATCAGGGCCGTGTCGCTGTGGCATCTGTCGTAGAACTGACAATAGCTTCACAGAATTTCTAGTCTGAAATATTAAAATGAAATTTTAATTAGAACTCAAAATAAAAAAAATTCCTTTGTCCACTCTCATTCTCTTTATACAGTTTATCTACAAGTTCAATCCTTATGAATATGAATTCAATCCCTAAGCTGGGTAGCACAGACTTAAACTCACTGGAAAAGGTAAGCAATAACTGAGTAGTACTAAATAAGAACAAGACATTATATCCTTAGACATGGACAGTGGAATGAGAACAATCTACATCCATAGATTAAATAAAGGGTTCAAGCTGAAATTCCCTGAAGTTTACCCAGATTGACAGTCATCTGAAAATGGCCAGAAACACCATGGTTATAATAACAATGGCCAGAAACACCATGGTTATAATAACAATGAGAACATTAGTTTGAATCTAAATAATGATAACTCTTTATCCCAGAAATTCAGACAGACAGAATACTCCATAATAAGCTCCTTCCAGCAACCTTCGAAACGTTTTATTTGGACAACTATCAGACCAATTCTAGATAAAGTTAATCACCAAAAACATCCAAAGGTAGTTACAAGAAAAGATATATTTCAATAGAATAACATTAAACTGCATATTTAATTATGAACCAGGCCAAAACCTCTTAGCTAGCAAGTTTTCAATCAACTGTGGGTAGATATTGCACTTTCATTTTATCCAGTCTTCTCAAAATTCTTTTAATGACAAAAATTTAAATTGCTTGGAAGAATACAAATGTTGCTTAAAGCAGTTCTTTGCTGAGGAAGATAAGGTCTGGGAGATTAAAATTATGAAAATTGTAACAGATAATAAAACAAGTAGATGAATATGCTACTCAATAAAATAAATGTCAAAAATAAAAAAAAATGTTTTACTCTTATTTAATCGAATAAATATTAAGAAAAGAATTAATGAAAAGAGGAGAAATAAAAAAATTACTATATAAAGTAATAAGAAATAATATTGGGTTATAAATAAAATCCACTAATCTTAGAAATTACTTTGTTTTTCATTTTGGATATGAAAAAAGGGTTAGCAGAAATGGGCTTTGAGATGCGCATTCCTTAAATAAAGTAATTGAAATTTGCTTTGCTTCTTATGGCTGAACAGTCTAAAGTGCTTTAATGGCTTTCTCTACAAGAAAAACATAGGACTGAACCCAAAAGACACATTTTCTTCATTCAGATGCCAAAAGAAGTATTTTCTTCCATTAAGATTTAAAAGACACATTTTGTTTATTTGAGGTAAATAATGACCATCAGATGAAAAAAAATCATAAGTCTGAGCTTCTATTTCCAAAGGTCAAATATCTATCTCGCAAGTTCAATGTCAAAAAATACTGTAAATCAAAAGGATAAAAAAAATTCACATCATAATGCACATCTACCTTTTCACCCACCAAAAGCTAAGACCCTCTATTGGCCCAAAGTAGCATTCTTTTATTTTATTCTCTATATCTCTATTTTCAGAACAACAGTAGTCTTTTAGCTATGCCACACTACTTGGCTTTTACAGGACAAGAAAACTTTTTCTAAAAAACTGAAAAATTCTCCAGTTATAAAAATAATATCACTTTCCATTTCTAATAATTGACAATCAAGAAAAAAAATTTCTAATTACTTTTCTTAAGAACAAAAATGCTGTGATTGGTTGAGAAGCACAAACAATTACCATATTTTAAGGCTTACTAAAGTCACTCCAATCTTCATTCTGATCTTTTTTTCAATAGATAGCACAAAGAACATGAATTCTTTCCTAAGTTAAGATTGGATTTTCTCCTTTGTAGACAAGATTCTTAAATGCCCAGGCCAGTAGACATAAAATTACACCATTTAAAAAACTGTGATGTCTACACAAACATATGTATCCACTAAAATATAATTTTTAAAATAAAAAATATGAATTCATGTACCTATAGTATATATCACTGTTATATATATCTTTCTCCTAGACTGGGTACCAACCAAGACTGAAGAGTCCAGTCTGCTTTTCTATTTAACCCGTAGCTGTGAGAATTTGAAGGTGATTAGAGCTTTAAAGAATCTACCATGGTCGGTAAGTCATAAGAAAACAGAAAACAAATCACATGAATATTAAGAGTATATGTTGCAAATGGAAAATGACAATGCTGCATTCATGTAGTTGACAATGTAAGAAGTGAATTGTAGCTCATTTGAGAAGAGTTCAAGATGAATTAACAAAAGTTTGTTCATTTTCCCTTATTTACTAGTAAGAATACAACTAAGTTCTATTCTAATAGTTTCTTTTCTTAAAACTTCCCACCTATGAAACTTCCTTCTGAGTTCTTGCTTCCCTGACAACTACAATCTTCAAAAATTTAAATGCCATGCCAATCACCATATTTTGCCTTCCTGAATCCTGTTTCTTTATAGTTCTTCTCCTCACTAAAGTCTTCTCAGTCACTTTCACTCAGTGCAACCCTACCTTGCCTTTTAGTGGCATTATCACCTTGCCTGGGGGTGAAGAGATTTAAAAAAAAGTAAACTCAATTGATTATCTATTAGTTGAATAAGCATATTTTAATATACTGAATATGGTTAAGTAAACAAATGGGTAATCATTAGGAATTTTCATTAGCTGCATATAGTGTGTGCTTTGCCAGGGCTACATACGGTTTTTGAATTCAGAATTGTCTTTCTCCTAGACTGGGTGCCAACCAAGACTGAAGAGTCCAGTCAGCTCTCTTATTTAACCCATAGCTGTGGGAATTTGCAGGTGATTAGAGCTTTAAGGAATCTACCATGGTCGGTAAGTCATAAGAAAACAGAAAACAAATCAATCAACTGGCACCAGAGTGAGGGGTGCTTTAAGTCAGTGCATGTAAAAATTTGCACACTAAAATCAGGTTTCACAGTGAGTAGGGACTAAATAATATTCTGGGGAGGTGTAGCCCAAGCTACAGGCCTACTTGCAGCATAGAAGAAATTTGCTAGAAAATCACCAAAAGTTACATAACCTTGAGAATGAATTCCTATTATATCTCTACTTTCAAGACAACAGTAATCATTTAGCTATGCCACATTACTTGACTTTTACAGGACAAGAAAACTTTTTCTAAGAAACTGAAAAATTCCCCAGTTATAAAAATAATATCACTTTCCATTTCTAATAATTGACAATCAAGAAAAAAAATTTCTAATTACTTTTCCTAAGAACTAAGCAATGACCAGAGTATATGCTCAAACAATATATTCAAGTGTATTTATCTATAAATGTCCTACAGATAATTATCCTGACACTAGTGAATAAATGTAGCCACGCACCCACCATTTATAATACAAATATATCCTGTGCTATAAAAAAACTAGAAAGTAGGCCATTTGTTGCTTACATAAAGTTATAACCTTGTGAATAATTCCCTAATTATAGACCTTTCAATAATGTACAAGAAAAAAAACACAAATGTTCTTTTAATAATATGTACATAAAAAAAAATCTATATAAATAAAGCCTAAAATTACTTCAAAATATATTTGAGGCAAGGTTAAGGTCTGATTCCCTCAAGCAAACAATAGATTGTTTTATTTTTTGACTAAACTAAAACTGCTGAAAAAGAATGTTACACATTCAATAACCAGAACCTAGTTGATATAAGTCCTACTACACCACTTTTTACATAGAGAAGGCTTTTTTTGAATTCTATAATCACAACAAATTCTGTTTCAATTGATAAGAGATGTCAATAATAATTTATTATTTATGAATTCAGAGAAATAAATGGTAACAATAAGCTGTGTCAAAACAATGATGTACATAAAAATGAAAAGATTTAAATAGAACACATATATACACTAAAATCAGTAGAAGGAAAGTATTAAGAGACTTGTAAAATATTTGTTTAATATACTAATGGTAAAAATTTATTATATTTGATATAAAAATTAATAACTGGAAAAAATACATATTTCTAATTTATAGAATATATAAATTAAAGCAGCAGTGGAAAATAGTTTTACAGATATACAATTAATTTAATTCAGATAAATTCTATTTTTTTCTCTCAGTTTCACAATACAATTAATTTAATTAAAAATTTTCTCTATTTCTCCCTTCTCTAAAGCACACACACACACACACATATATATATATATATATATATATATATATATATATATATATATATATATATATACACAGACAGACAGACACAGACTTTTGCATATATTTAAAGCAAATTTTAAACTGGTTTTAATTCAATATTTTCTCATGAAAAATTGACTAGTTCTGCTGACATAAAACTTTAAGATCTGTAATTAAAAAGCTTCCAAATGTGGTCAAGTCAGTCAAATGCCATAAGTGATACTGGGCAGTCATGTCTAATTAAATCCATGACTAAGTAGGCACAAGAATTGTGTGGTAGACTGGTTGTCAACCAAGGCTATAGGACCCAGTCTGCCTGCAATTCAACCCATTGCTAGTGGGAGAATAGATGGAATCCTACATTTCCCAAAGATATAAGTGAATGTAACAAACCCAACTAGAATTCAAACACAACTCTCCAATTTCTCATTATTATTTACTTTTTATTTATTACTTGTAATATAGTAAAGAATACATTTGTTTACAGTCAGTGTAGATACTTATCAACTCAGTTCAAAGGTCAAAATGAGTGGCTTACTTTTCAACAAATAATGAAAACTTGCTTAAATTTATGAGAATTTCATGGGATAACTCAAGTATGGATTGTAATACTAAGGACACCCATGTAGGAAAGGAAAATGTAATTTTATCTCAATCTCAACAGTTTCTTTTTAATAGTCAGCAGGTGGTTCTTCTTGAAGTCTAGTTTTCTAAGCAGCATCCACTTTGACTAAAGGGGGAACAAGGAATTAAAGGAGTGGATGAGGGGTTTTGGAAATCAAGTGACAACAAAACTGGAAATCGGATGTATCTAGGATACTTAGGATTGGAGTCAGTTCTAGTTCACCCTTGGTGAGGGATAGACATCTGTTGTATGGTTCCAATTTTGTTTATTTGTATTACTAGCCACAAGTCAGAATGAGTAAATGGGTGAGGAGTTGGCAGGGAGAAGAGGTCCACATAGCAGAAGTTATCCAGTGTCACCCAGGTGAGCAGGCAAAGCCTTGAATAAAACATGGAAAACAGGGTTTGTGTTGTCATTACTCGGCATGGTGTTTCATCTTGTTACCTTGTGAGCATGCAGTGGGCCCTTGCCTATCTTTTGGTGCATACTGATGAGATGAGTAATCATTGGCCAATCAATGAAAAGCTTGGGCAAGGATCATGTGTGTTTACATGGATGACAAAAAAATGACAAAACTTTGATATTGCCCATAATAATAAAAGTATATTTCCAACTTTAAAACACTATAAGATAGATATTACTCCTTTATTTACAACAATCTTATATCCAAAAGACAAGGTGGAGTAATAGATAGCAGCTCAGATTGAGAATTGAAAGAGTCAAGTTTGAAATGTAATTGAGGAATCAAAGAGTCAAGTTTGAATTGCTATCAAGTTTGTTATATTCACTTATGTTAATCTGATAGATTTCTATCACTTTAAACCTTATTTTTAATGGATGCTCATATATCAGTTGGTGCTATGTTTATTTATTAAACAGTATATTTATTTATTTTCACCTACTGGTCTGAATGCTTGGGATATCTTATTAAAGAATGATTTGTGCCTTTGTGTAGGAATCAAAACTGCATCCCTCAGAGCAGAGGGAGTGTAAGCGTTTTGAAAGCAAAGGAAGTATTTGTCACAGATTACTTCCACAACACAAAGAAAAATCACTGTAAGTATAAACTTGAATATCGGGGGCAGAAAGAAATGCCGAAAACTCGATTCGCTGGTACTATCTCACAAATCACAATGTGTGTAACCAGTCAGAAAAATAACTCACTCTCCGACGAACGCAGAAGCCAAAGAATGTTCAATTTTTGCATATCAAAATATTCTTATAGCGAATCCTGCGACGGACTTTTTTTTTTTTTTTTTTTTTTTAAATATTTCTGTCTTCCGCATGTCATGTGGAATACATGCCTCTTTTTTTTGGTAAATAATTTTCTTTTTTGCCACATTTTCCGTCGTAGGATACACGCGACTCTCTGTCACTTGATTTGACAAGGTAAGTTGACGTTTTCTTCGCTATAGGGAGCTAATGCTTAGCCCAGTATGCCACTTGGACACAAAGAACAGATGGTCAAGTGAAGCCAATTTCATGCTTTCAAGCAAAATTTCTCCAGTCATAGATCTCTCAAAATTTTTTCATATCTGCACATTGATTATGTTTGGAGACAAAACTAAGAGAATTTTTAGAATGGATTTTTATCACTTTAAACATTATTTTTAGTGGGTAGTCATATTTGAATAGGTGCTCCATTTATTTATCAAACAGTATCCACTATGCTATGGGTAAATTAGTAGATCAGACTGGGTCCTAGTGTCTTGGGTGGCAACCAGTCTAAGAGAAGTGAATTCAAAACTGAATAGTCAATTAGTCAGCAACTAGACTGACTCCTCCCCCACACCCTGGTTTGGTGACGAGGGTAAGTAGAACCCCAGAAGAACAAAAGTAATTGTTAAATAGATGGATGAACTCTTTATAATCAACAGCTATTCACTCGAACTATGAGTTAAATAGCCTCACCAACTCACAATTCACCAAGTGTGGTGAGTACGGCTATTGGTATGGTCAATCAGGCAAGGGTTCCTCCAAAAGAAGTGAGAAGGATTTTGATATCCCAAAAAAAATAAATAAATAAATAAATAAAAAAAATAAATAAATAATAAATTCACTTGCTTTGAAAATAATCGGGTATAGTTTTAATCAAATGGAATGTTCATAGTTTACTATGCATCATTTACCTCATCTCCCCACTGAGACAGGATATGACACAGGGTCAGGTTTAATGCGGGGAACCTGAGCATGTACATCTGGGCCAGGGACAAAAATTGCCCAGCTCCTGCAACCATTTTTTGCACTGGCATTGGTATGACTACCGATCATCACTCTCTAGTGCAATGGCAGGGAGGGGTGGGTGGCTTGGGGTCAGCTATATGCAACTGTTCTCTGGGACCAGGTACCTCTCAGTATTTTGTTTTTCACAACCACATCTTTGTCCACAAACAGAGACAACTGTGCCACACTCTGCCCAAAGACAGAGATGTGCAACTGAGATATATATATATATGAGGTATAACTGAAACCCACTACTAACTTCATGAAAAGTTAGTGAACATTCAAGTGTAAATGGTAGCCACGTTAGACTATTTTAAACATTTTTCAGTTACTTAATAACATCACACATTATTAAATGAAGCAGTTTAAGAGAACAGACATTTGAAAATGCTTTATCTAAGAACAATTTCAAAATATAATTCTACTGTTACTAGGCAACAGTAAAAAGATGGTAAAAATAACTGGGAAAGGGGGAATATATGATCGAATACAAATCTGTATTTTCTGTTTAATCACTGATGCTTTTATGGCTCAAGGGATTAAGGCAGCATTTCTAAAAGACTAAATCCTAAGATCAAGTCTTATCAGAAGTTAATCTCCTGTATTTTCAGTCTTGCATTGTTTAATCAGTCAAAGAGCTTACTAATCCAGAATATTGTGATGAAAACAACAGAAAAACCAAGTAAAAAAGAGAAATTTGGATGGAATGAAATTAAGTTCATTGCCACAAAACCAAAATATTAACCAGAAAACTTTCAAGGATGATCATTAAAAAAAATCAATTTTGTTATTTATATTATTTTTTGAAATCATTTCACCCCAAGCAAGGTGATAATGCCACTAAGACGCAACAGGTTACTGGGAGTGAAAGACAGTGAAAAGACTTTAGTCAGGAGAAGTGAGAAAAATAAAAAAAGAAACAGGGTTCAAGAAGACAGAAGATGGCAATTGACATTACATTTAAATTTTTGAAGATTGTAGTTATCGGGGAAGCAAAAAAACAAAAAGAATTGCAAGAAAAGAAACTATTAGAATAGAACAAACAGTTGCATCTAGCTTGTTCAAATGTAAAATAATGAGACCTAGTTGCCAATCTAGTAGCACATTTAAATTCATGCAGTTAAGTAACTAAAAAAAAAAAGCTCATCAGAATAATTGCCATGAAAATATTTGTAGGAAAGACAGAGGTAAGCCATGTCATGATAATGGAAAAATGACTGAAGTTGAGATGCCAGGTCAAGATCGAATACATTGCAGACGCTTTGAATTTTGTCAAGAATCTCAAGCTATATAGAAGGAGCACCAGACCAAATATGGTAGCAATATTCAATGTGCAGACAATTGGTAAAAAGAAGTATTTTGCTAAAAATTAAGATATAAACTTACCCATTGGCCATCTTTTGCTTTTAATAATGCAAAAAGCATCCGTAACTCTTTCACTGTAATACTGTAACTTGCTAATACACCCAGCATTTCCACTAAGAGATCTGTAGAAATAACAAATAAATAAATGCAGAAATTATCAATGAAATAAGTAGAATGAAATAAAGCTGACATTGGATAGGTGACAGAGAAAAAAATAAACATACATGTATTAAACATTAATTATTGGATGTGGAGTATTTAATAGAAATGAAAAGCCAGCAACAACCTTGCATGCATATTATATATATATATATATATATATATATATATATATATATATATATATATATATATATATATATTTTATATATATATATTGCACACACAAACATATTTTATATATATATATATATATATATATATATATATAAATTATTTTTACATATTATTAAAATATTAATTTTCTTCATGTTCAATATGAAAAAACGTATATATTTCTTGGAAGACACATTCTAGACCAGAAAATTTAAATTGGCAATATATAATATTTTTTTCTCACCACATTACAACAAAAACCACACAACATATTTTCCTTTATATATATATATATATATATATATATATAAAACACACACATTTTATATATATATATATATATATAAAATAAAAAACAAGAGGGACTTTTATATATATATATATATATATACACACACATGTATATATATATATATATATCCATATATATATACAAAAATAAGGATAATATTATAATATATATAAATAGCAATAGAAAAACAAAAAAAAATCTGTAATATATATATATATAATACAAAAAAATAAGGAAAGGAAAAAAAAAAGAAAATTTAAATATTATATATATAAAATGAAAGGAAAAAAGTTTAAATATTGCCCCAATGAAAAGTACATATATAAAAGAAAAATGAGAAAATAAACAGTCAATTGCTGATATCCCCTGATGAGTAGACAGAGTGATTTCTGAAATGGTCCATCTATGAAACTCTACAGTCAGCATGCTGAAGGTAACACCAATCAGCTAAGTGATAAAATTTGTGTGTGTGTGTGTGTGTGTGTGTGTGTGTTCAGACAGCATATTTTCATTAAAACAGGTTTGGTTAAATAATTTAGACATATGTTAATTTATTTTAGGTCGTGATCCTTTCAAGTTCACGGATTAATTTTTGGTAACCTTAGAAGATTGATTAAGAAAAATACTAAAAATTTTCTTTCAAATAGTTTTTATTTTGCCAAGTACTTTCAATCTCATCTGAGACCATCTTCAGGGGATTAAATTGTCTGTGAATGTCTATATGTATTTCTGTAAATTCAAAATATTTCAACTGCTCACTTTACTGCATTATGCAGCATTCTAGATTTCAAAATTCATATACGTGTGTGTGTGTGCGATAAATCTATAATTTTAACGTATACTATATTTATGGATAAAAGTGCTCACTATCAGAGAGAGCATATGTAAATAAGTAATCAATAATAAATAATGGAGTAAAAAGTTAAACACTATAAAAAACTACAAATAACCACATTCAGATCCACAATCATTTTTATTCAATAGCCTCTAGAATAATTTGGAACATAAGTGTTACTGCTCAGCCAACAACTGTTAGGGTTGAGCCAAAACACAACATACCTGGCCTGAAGATTGCATTCAGGCATGAAACAGACTGACATCTGCTTGTTGTTGACCTCAGTGCCCCTTATATATATTTCTAAAATAATAAAACACTGAATTATGACTACCACAGTATCATCAGGTGGTTAAGTCAGTGAAACAAAAACGAGTGATTTTAACTACTTCATGAGACTTTGTTGGTCGAAACCATGATAGTGTTCCATTCAGTGTTTTATTATTTTAAAATATGAAATCACTCTACATGTTTGATTTTTTTCTAGCTTGATATTGATCCCTTTTTAACACATACAATTTTAATCAACTATTTTAGTGTTTATTTAATTCATATATATATATATATAAAACCATAACATTCTACACATGTGAGCATATATATATATATACATACACACACACACACAAAGAAAAGTCAACCTATCACAGTAAAAAAAAAAAGTGTATAAATTATATCTTTTAACTTAATAAAAGTTAAAATGAGAAAATAATTTTTCAGAAATACCTAAAGTAAACTGAAAATTTACAAAAATAATAAAATAAAGTAAAAAAAAAAAAAAAAATAAAAATCAATATTTGCTATAAGTTTTACTGCAATATTCCTTTGTACTTTTTAGATTGATGCTAAAGAATTCCAAACAAAGAACTGTACCAAATAACAGAAACCACATCACTTGAAGACTTTCAACAACTAAAAATCGATATCACATGTAACTTAAAGCAAAAATAATGACATAATCAAGATATTAACCATTCAATCAAAATACTAGAAAAGAAGCCTCAATCAATACAGGAAAGATCAATAACAGCTAGTGAACTTGAGAAACCTATTTTCCTGAAAAACTATTTTAAGAGAAAGATTTTATAAATTTCAACTGACTCTTAGGTTAATGAATGCCAAATGTTTTCTTATAAGAAAATGGTTAATATTATCATTATGATTTCATTTATTCTAAAATTAAACCCCTCAGAAATTTTTTTCTTGATTTAAGTTTAAAATAATTTCAATAAATATATTATTTTTGTTGTCTTCATTTTATTTTGAGATAATTTAGGAAATGGTAATAATACTTATTTCTACAGTAATTCCTTTACAAAAAACAAATTTTATGCATATAACATACAAATGGCTTGAATATTTGCTATGTTTTTACTTTAATACTATAAAACCAACAGGCCCAACATTACATACATTTTTGTGAATGTTTATTTTGAATAAATATAATTTGAACCTTATTTGTCATAACTCACTTTATAATTATTCTAAGTATTTTACATGATATAGAATTTTCTTTACTTTATGTACAAAGTTTTATTGAGAAATAAAAGCAACTAATATCTACAGGTATATTATTTTGAGGAAGTGATGAAATGTTCTCAACCAGTCAAGCAGAATGACCTAGAACAATGAAACATACGTGCTGTTCAGTATATTCACACAACTGTTTAATACAGTTGGTATATCACTGCTCAAATACCTTTAACCCTTATAAAAAAAAATGCTGATGTTTTTGTCATTGAAATACTGATTTGGAAAGTGGGTTAGTCTGAAATCTTTTCAGCATTTCTAAATACATTAATCTAATATTTTCAAATTGACACTATTGTTGAAATGAGTTGTTTATTATGTAAGTATAAATCATAAGCCTCACACAATTCTCTAGCTTGTTGGTTAATTTTAAAATATTAAAATTCTATCTACTATATTATTATATAGTTATATATCCTTTTTGTTACCTTATTTTCTTGTGTATAATACGAGAAATTTTGAATAATAATTAAAGGCAAAAAGGGGGTTGTATTATACACAAGTACACGTTTTCAGAAATCTTCACTCAGCTTAAACAAAAATCTAATTTGAAACAGCAAGATTGTAAATACACTCAGCATAATAGATAAGAAAATGCAAAGTAAGCAGGTGTTTATAACAAATGTTTACAAAAGATATTTAATATGTCGTCAATATTTGTTATTTGTGAATTAGTGTAACTGAATGTCTTTTGTCTCAAAGACAGGAAATTGATTTAAAAAATGAATAAAAAGGAATACACAAGATCTCTCAGGTTTTGATAACATTAATGTTACAGCAATGGCCTGACTATTGTATAAATTATGTATTATGAATGTCTTTTGTCTCAAAGAAAATTCTCCAAAACTGATAAAAAATATTAATAAAGGGAATACACAAGATGTTTCATGTTTTGATAACATCAATGATTAATGTTATCAATTTTCAGGCAAAGGTCTTTTTTTATAAGTTATAAAAAACGACCTTTGCCTGAAAATTTGAAAATAACTGTATGTGTGTGTAATGCACACACACACACACATATATATATATATATATATATATATATATATATATATATATAAGACATCAAATTGAACATCATGGATTGCATATAAGAGTTAGACATGATACTGGCAGCCATATTCTGTACATCTTTTCTGAATTATACTGTATTTATTTGTACTAAAATGAACCATATATACGGATATGTTCCACGAAACCAATCCGCCTATGAAGAGATTTGATAACTATAACAACCCTTAGTAGTTTATTCATTATCTTTTCTTTGGTTGACTGATAATAATATTAGCAAACTTCCAATTAGCATACTTGCTGCAAATTCTAATAATCTTGTCAGAATTACCCGACTCTTAATTTGTGTAATCACTCTCCCTGGTGATCTTATGCACAACAATAATTATCTGTTTTTTTTTTTCAAATGTATTGTGTCAGCCGTATGTATATTAACGAACTGTCGATCATATTAGAACATAAAAGGAAATGCCGAGATTGAAAAAGAGAAATGTCATTGTAGGTTTAATATGGACAAAAGAAAGAAGGGTAATATAAAAAAAGAAGTATATCAGTTAAAGAAGAAAGGAAAATATGATGAAAGATGAGATAATAGAAACATTAATTAAAAAGCATTTGATGACAAAATCAATGCATAATACGAAAATTTAAAGCAAATAATATATTCTTTTATTTTTAGGTATCCTTGGGACTACAAACTTTAATTAAAGCTATGAAAGCAGACATTTATTTAGATGAGAAAAATATGACAGGGACAGAAGAAATAATTCTTATAAATGTCCATGATAAATACACAGGAACAAGAAAAAAAATTTATTCTTCTTTTTACTTGCTATGTCCCTTCAGGACGTTAGTGTGTATGGCCCTCTTAGCAATATTTTTTTCTTTTCCCTATCCTTTTCATTCTCTTTTAGGTAGGTTATTCTCTGCTTTCCTCTGTCTCTCTTACATTCAGTATATCCTGTGAGTGTCAAAGCTTCTAACCCTTCTTTCCTCAATATGTGCCCTAAAAATTTCCACTGGTGATTTCTGATTTTATTTGTAAATGTGCTTTCTGTTTCTATTTTTCCTTGAGCACATGCTCCATCCCTGATAGTCTCAGCATCCTTCTGTACAACCACTTCTGTTGTCTCAAG